CCCCCCCATAGTGCATCCACACAACGTCAATATTAGTTTCACAAACTTGTGGCGACACATCCTGTTTTGGTAACTGGATATTTCAAAATAAAAGTCTGATTTAATTCAGTTCATATACAAATCAAACTTTTGCGTGGGAACGCAAAACAATATTGCGAGGTAACACAAAAGTATTGTGAGGGAACGCAAACGTATTGCATRGTAATGCAAAGGTATTGCGAGGGAACACAAAAGTATTGCGTGGGAATGTAAAAGAAAAAATCCACCCATGTCCCCTCACGKGCTCCGTACATATTAATGCAAAAGCAGAATTTGTAGTTTTATTTAAGAACCAGATAATTACTTTTTTCTGCAAAAAAAAGGCAGCACCAGTATTGAGTACCAAATGATTTTGCTGACATTTGGTGTAAAAGCTGAAGTTGAATTGTTACAGCAAAAGGAAACAACATGCTAGCTAATAGCCTAAAGTTGAAAGCTCAGCAGAAAACTAAAAGCAGCATAAGAAGACAAACATACAAGTATGCTGTAGCAAATTTTAAATATTTTAAATTATTTGAAAGTGAAAAAACTGTTGAAACCAAAAGTCCTAGCACCCACCCCCTGTACAAGCTGAATGTTTAAAATAACACAAAGTTGTTTTATATTTCTCTGCAGGTCCAGCTGATCATCGAGCTTCTCTGGCCGCTCTTCCTCTTTTTAATCCTCATCTCTGTTCGTCAGTCAAACCCTCCGTACAAACAAGGGCAATGTAAGTCATTCTGAGCACGGACCTCTGAATTCTGGACCTTTTTTCAATTCAATTCAAAAATTTATTAATTTCATTTAAAAAATAACTATGTACAATAAAAGACAAAAGAAAATACACAAACCAAAAATGGTAATAAATTGAAAGGTAGCAGAAGAATAAATCTTATATCTGCCCCTTTTATTCCCAGAATATATTCAAACAAAACATAATTTACCAAACAATACAAATAAAAATAAAAACATTAACTCAAACAAAAGTTCATACAGCTTCACATTTTACTTTTTCATATACCTTCAACAAACTGGCTTCTTCTTTAGATTGTTCTTTTTCATGTACAGTTCCCTGAGACAACGTATGTTGTGACTTGATGGCGCTATATAAATAAACTGAATTGAATTGAATCTGTCTCTTAAATATATACAAAGATCTGGCATTTTTAATATCATCTTCCAGACCATTCCACAATCCTATACCCTGGATTAAAGTACATCTTTCTCTCAAGCAAGTATGAAAATATGGCTTCACAAACATTTCCATCCCCTTCAGATAATAACTGTCTCTCTTAACAAAATTTGCCTGAATGTTGGCAGGTAATACGTTTCTGTGAGCCTTGTACATAAACAGTAAAATATTATAGTCAACCAAATCATAGAATTTCAAATTTTTCAGTTTGCAAAACAATGTATTTGATGGGTGGTTGTAATTTTTTCTTGTGATAATTCTTACGGCTCTTGTTTTGCAAGCTTTACCCCAGACTTCAATACTGGAAATKAAATGTGGGACAATTATTGAATTGTACAAAACAGAGCTTTGTCATTAAATAACTCCCTGACTTTATACAGTACTCCAATAGATTTAGATATTTTTTAGGAGTAAACTGTATTATATAGCACACCACATTCATTAATACAGACATAGAACAGTTATAAAGTTTTAGTCTGATTATCTCATGAAGATCTCTTTCTATGAAAGAACTGTGTTATTAAATGAAACCGTTCGTCACTGATTTACATTGTATTTTGTATTTACTTTTTGTTCTGTAGATTCATCCATTCCAGACTTTTTCATTGTCTCATTTTGTTGTATATCAGATTAACGTCTTGGCTTTATTTTTTATATATATATTATATTTACTTGCAGGTCATTTCCCAAACAAAGCCTTGCCATCTGTGGGCACCCTGCCCTGGATTCAGAGCATCATCTGCAACATCCACAACCCCTGTTTCCACAGCCAGACAACGGGGGAAATACCAGGACAAGTTGACAACTTTGACAACTCCACGTAGGTTTAAACAGAGACTGAAATAATCTTTAAAGACAGGAGAGTTTGAGTTTATATGAATCAACTAAAAATAAAACAACATATAAGCTGGATATTGTTGTTGTTTTCTGGTTGGTTTATTGAGTTCCTTCAGCTAACAGGTGTTTACATTTTGCTCCACAGCTTTGTGCAAATTAACGTGAAACGCCATCACACTTACAGCTGATGTTTATTCAAATCAATTACAAATTTATTGGTTTTGATTTTTGCTGAGGTCACATTGCTGTTGGCTGATAATGACACTTTATGTTTAGCAATCGGCACATCTGAGTCGGTCTGGAATAGCTGAGCTGGTTTAATTTGAAAGCTTTTACAGATGCTTGTTGAACAGTTAGTGATGATTTTAAAGTAAGTTTGTCAACAGCCGTGTTTAAAACGTTTGTCTGGAAACATTTTCCTTTGTGCCTGTCCTGCAGACTGTCTCGTCTTTTCCTGGACGCTCGGGCTCTTCTGTCCTACGGTGGAAACCAGACTTTCTCTGCTTTTCAGGACCTGATGAAGAGCGTTCAGCTATTGCAGGAAAAACTCCAATTATTGCCAAGTACTTGTTTAAATCTCTCTGTTTAAATCTATGTGTTTAAACTCAGCAGCGAGGGGAAATTCAAAATTTAGTTTTGTAAGTTGTGCACATGAAAACAGGCTGATTTTTTTGTAAATAGCTACAATACATTTGACTTAATTAGACAAAGTATGAGTTGAAGTGATTCACGTCAGATATTAGAGCACAACTCTGACTGTGTCACTTCATCACGCGGCAGCATTAATCAGTAATATACCTGTATAACTGTGTTTTAGAACAGACTGAACACTATAATAATGCAGATTTTGATGGAAATTTATTTTGTACGTATTTGATTATTTTCTTTGAGAAATCGTTCTCTGTTACATAAAACAGGTTTGAATAAGTGTTGAGTGACAAATGGATTCATTGTTCCTGCTTTTATAAAAGAGCCACTTGGTGTCAGTTTAGCTTTTCCTTGTTGTGGACAGATTAAATTACACAAAGCCTGCTTGGCAAACATTTTATCTCGTGGCTCAAAAAGAATCCAGATGAACTGGTACCATAAATATAAATATTTGTGTTGATAAGAATATCAAGCTCAATAATYAGTGTTTGCATATTAATACCTATGAAGAAGCATTTCAGGAAAGGCTTTGTGTCCGACAAATGAAAGTCCTACAGTACCAGTCAAGCATTCAGGCACACCTCCTCATTAATTATAAACGGTGTTGCTGTTGAAACTTCCCTGCTGTTTTATGCCCGACCATACAAAATTCTGCTCTCAAAGCTTAATGTAGTTTAAATCCATTTATTCCTCACTGTTTCAGATTATGTAGCCAAGATGAAAAGGTATTCTTGCATAGATTGTTACCAATAAGAAAGTATGTGTCATTTAGGCCTAAAAGCTTAAACTTGTCAGTATCCTTCTGTGCACAAACTAACTTACAGTTTGTTCTCCTTTTATTTTAACGTGGAAAATAGTGTTTTATTTATGTGACCTGTCATTCATACTTACTGTTTTCTCTGTAGCTCTCCAAGTTAAAGAGTACCTGATACCCAACGAGACCTTCTCCAGCTTTCTCCTGACCAACGGCAGCCTGTCGCCTTCCACCGTGGACCTGCTGATGAATTCTCATCTGAATTTTCAGGTTTAACATCTTATTTATCAGAACCATTCGGTGGTAATCACAGTTACTATTCATGCTAAACTTTTGACCACTAGATAAAAAAACAAACAAACAAACATAACTGGTTTGGTTGCCACCATCACGTTTTCTACATGCATCTAAATGTTGTGTAGTTTGCTGGTAGTTTATTCGTTATTTAACTTTGAGGCTTTATTCCTAAGTTTTCACATAATGCAAACAAAAAATTTAGATTTCTTTCTAAAGCTGATTTCACAAGTGCACCAAAGTCCTAAAATCTTACAGAGGTGTTCTAAAAGAGGTGACAAGAATAAACAGAAATGTTTTGCAGAATTTGCTTCATATATTGTCCATATCTTCTTGAACGTTTTGCTGTGTTCGTGTGTAAAAATGTATTTTTTTCTCTGTGAGCGTTGCTTTTAGCTTTTGGCCCACGCACAAGTTTCATGCACATTAGTTTTGTTGAATGTAAATTAATGTTTCGGCTCTCCATTATCATCAGCGTTTTCCCTTCCAGGCTGTAATGGCAGGAGTCCGGACGCCACTGAAAGTCTTGGTGTGCAACTCGAGTACGTTTGAAGAGTTTCTGACAGTGGACAGCGGAGCAGCCAGCATGACCGTTGTTCAGACTGAGCTGTGTGACCTACAGGATGATGTCCTGCAGGAGGCGGAGCGTCTATTTTTCTCCCAGCTTGACTTGACCAAGATCATCATGGTAAGTTTTGTTGCGTAAAATAAGAAAGAACTTGTAATATTAACAGAGTTTTTGTGCAAGGCCATGGTTTTCAATCATAATATTGTCCCTCGATGTCGGGGTAAGAGTTTTATTGCTCAAGCTGAAAAGATAATGTATCTGGGAGTTTTGTGATGGGAGAATAGTGGAAGATGAATTAGTGAATCAGGGTGTTGTCCATATTAATGAGGGTGTTGCTCTAGTCTAAAAAAGGAGCTGAACTGGGAAATGAAGCTTTTGATTTCAAAGTGCTCCAACTCTCAGCAATGATCATGAACAAACAAGGACTCTGGCAGGTCTTTAAAGCTTGGAACTCCAAACTACTCCGGACATTTTAAATTGAGAAAGCTTCCTGGATGGAAATTGAAATGTCTTCAGCTTCGTAATAAAAGTCCAGTTTTTGTTTTTTAACCTTTTTTTTTTGGATCGATCATGAACAAAAGAATGAGAGCCAGCATCCGATTCGGATGCTTCCTGCATGTCTTCTGCTGGTTTTCCAAGTACTTTCCAAGGAAGAGCCAGAATTTGCTGTATTGATGATGTATCCTGTTTTACCTGGGTATGCCTTGGTGACAGCTGGTGAGTGTCGCTGGGGAGAGAAAACTGTGGGGCAGTGGTAGGACACTTGTCCTGGGACCAGAGGGTCACAGGTTCCATTTCTATGCCACATGTTGGAAAAGGGTGTCTCTGCAGTCACTAATAAGTGAGTTTCTTGGTGTGTGAGCAAAGTTTGGAAAATGCATGATTCGTCCGTTTGTCTTTTGTGGGAGGAGCTTGTTAAAGATGTGATTGGTCGAAAGGACTATCGTAGGTGAGGTTTGAAGAAGCCATAATGATTCGGTTGGATGAACGCTGGATGATGTGTAACAATTTGGCTTGGTCGAAAATGCCAGGAAACACTTATAATTTTGAAATAGAATATTAGGATGTGTTAAAGGATGTGTAACAATATGGCTTYGTAGTCTTAACTCGAGACAACGAAGTGCTAACTGCACATGGATGGATAGATGGATGGATGGATGATGGATGTATGAATGGATGGATGATGGACAGACAGACCAATGGATGACTGGTTGACTGGATGAATAAATGGATTGATGGTTTGATAGATTGAAGGATAAAAGGAGGGTTGGATAGATGGAGGGAGGGAAAGATGGATGGATGGAGGGACGGATGGATGGATGGAAGGATCACTGGATAGATAAATGGATGGAGGGACAGATGGATGGATGGATGGATGGACAGACAGACCAATGGATGACTGAATGAATAGTTGGATTAATGGTTTGATAGACTGAAGGATAAAAGGAGGGATGGACAGATGGAGGGAGGGACAGATGGATGGATGGATGGATGGATGGATGGATGGATGGATGGATGGATGGATGGATGGATGCATGTATGTATGGAGGGACGGATGGATGGACAAGTAGGGGTCTCTGCAGAACATGTTGTCCTRTGGGTGGAGACGTCCCTGCTCGTGATTGGCCGAGGTCTTAATGTGGGCGGAGACGTCCCTGCTCGTGATTGGCAGAGGTTTCGATGTGGGCGGAGGTTGCCCAAGAGACGTGATTGGTCGAATTGACGGTGGGGTATGAGACTGGAGGCAGCGAGGACGCCGGGGAGCAGCTTGGTCGAGTCGGGCAGGAAGTAACATGTTTTTTTAGATTAATTTTAGTCATAACTTGAGAAAGGAAAGTGCTAGCTGCACAAAATTTGAACGTCGTACATGTGAAAGGATGTGTAACAATATGGCTTGGTCAAAACATCTTGAATATTGATTTTTAGCTATCTTTTTACAGGCTCATTAGGGATTTTTTTAACCGAGCCATATTGTTACACATCCTTTCACATGTATGACGTTCAAATTTAGTGCAGCTAGCATTTTCCTTTCTCAAGTCATGACTAAAATTAATCTTGAAAAAAGGTTGCTTCCTGCCTAACTCAATCAAGCTACTCCCCGCTGCCTCCAGCTTCCTCAAACCCCACCGTCAATCYGACCAATCACGTCTCTTGAACCATCTCYGCCCACATCGAAACCTCCGCCAATCACGAGTAGGGCCGTCTCCGCCCACAGGACAAAACCTACTGCAGAGACCCCTTACTCTGGATGGAAGGAAGGATGAGTGGATGGATAAATGGATGGAGCGAGAGATGAATGGATGAGTGATGGATGGACGGACAGATGGATGGATGGATGAATAGGTGAATAGATAGACAAACTGATGGATGGATGGATGGATGAATAGGTGAATAGATAGACAAATTGATGGATGAGTGGACAGATGGATTAATGGGTAGATGGATGGATGGATGAATGAATGGATGGATGGATGGTAGGACGGATGGAAGGAAGCAGTGGTGGAAAGCGCTAATTCAAATTTTAGTTGCACAATCTCTAAAGGGCTAGTCAACTTATTTAGATTCGTAAGTTGAAAAGCAATATGCTCATTAAAACTTAGCAGAGCTAATTTAAAGTACATCATAGTCTCCGTTTACCAGACAACATCCAGGAAAGAGAAAAGTCAGCACCTTACTACCATGATCATCTAGTTGTAAGAATATTTTCCTTTGACGGATTAGCGCATATTGGCGCAGAATGGGGAGGTGATTCATAGAAACAGACTTCTAAATCATGGTTGTAACACAAAAAATAGTTGTTGATTGCTAGTTCTGCTGTTTCTTGGTCATTTTCTTATGTTTATGGCAGGGCTTCAGTAAGAAAATATGCAGATGTATTAGTAATTTTAAAACATTGTAAAACTGAAGCAATGCGTTCTGGGTAGGCTACAGGACACAGAACAGGAACTCCATTCTTTTCAAAATAAGAGCATGAATTTAAACTGTTCGGTGTTTCTTTCTTTACTAATATTTTTTTTTATGTTTATTGCTGCCGAGTCCCTCAGAGAGGAGGTACAGTATGCASAGCTGAGTGTGGTTCTGCAGGTGGATTGTCACCCAGTGAAGAAATTGTAATTGCTTCCTGCCATGCAAAGAATTGTGGGAACACTACAGTCTCTACTAAGTGAAAACCATTACCGGGAAGAGTCAGAAGTCAGAGTATAAAGCTCTGTGAATGCAACGCAGACTGAGGGGTTGCTGTTTCCTCACTGTGGAGCTCCATTGTGTTAAGTAGAGACGGTGTTATGGAAATCTTTATTTTACCTAGACAGAAACACAAGATACAAAAACAAAAAGTACTCCGTGAATGGTCAACAAGATTTATTGCAGATCTGCAAGACACACATCTTGTCACACAGGGCAGTGGTAAAAAATGTGTGCACTGAGACAGTTTCAAATACACACATTTATACTGTATGTTAGAAGAACATAGACAACAACACCGAAAAAAGGTGGGCCAAGGAGAGAATGATGTTTGATAAACAGCAACAAGAACAATTACTTCTAAACAGATATTGTCCTGATCTTAAAACACTTTGTCCAAGAGAAAACAGAAGCTAAAGAGTAAAATCATAAAACATAATGACATTTTAAGGGAAGCAAAAGAGGTCACTGACTCTTGGCCTGAGAAGAAATGTAGGACTCCAAAGGATAATTTATTTTTCCAAGACAGACGGCTTTCCCCTTCATTGTTCAAGAAAAATCATGATGAAGTTTTAATGAATTACGTGGCTACAAAGCGTAGTGAGACTAGAAGGCTCTTCCTCTTTACTTTAGACGAAATAGACATTTGACTGTGAAACATTATTTGTGATTAGCGCTACTCAATTCTAAATTTAGAAAGCGCAAATCTGTGCATCATTTTATGAAATTAGTAAAACCCCTAAAGCGCAAAGGAGAAATTTAGGTCTGCAATTAGCGGATTTGCGCTTTAGGGGACTAGTGCCCACCACTGGAAGGAAGGATGACTGGATGGATAAATGGATGAAGGGACAGATGAATGGATGAATGATGGATGAATGGATGGATGGATGGATGGATGGATGGATGGATGATGGACATATGGATGGATTTACACTTGAATTGAGACATAGAGCTTTACTTCTGTGAAAATGGACACTTGATTTGTAAAGCATCGTCTTTTTTCCTGCTAATATTTAAAAACCAGTTCACAGGAGACCTCATGTTTCGAGACTCACCTGCACTTTGTTCCTAGATGAAGTTTTAAATCAAACTCTTCTCCATGGCAGAGAAACCGTCTGATGATCAACACTGAAGAGCTCAGGGCCATCTCTCAGGCTGTTACCTCCATTTCCCAGGAGCTCGCTGTAATCATACATGATGTGAGAAGTTGTTCTTTTTTCTTTTTATAATAAAATAAACCTAATTTAACAGCCTTAGTTTTGTCTGTTTGCCCTTTTCCTCTGAATCGTCTCACTCTCTCTCCTCTGCCTTCCATCAGGTCTCTTCCTTCTCCAGTTTCGCAGAAATGAGTGCAGCGCTCAGTGTTCTATCTCCTGAAAACCGCACGGCAGACCCCCGACAGGGTTTCAGAGACTTCTCCAGGATCATGTGCGGTCACCCTGAGAACGACGGCGAGCGCGTCCTGTCGCTCAACTGGTACGAAGACAACAACATCAAATCTTTACTCGGCAAAAATGGCATCGAGGATGAGGAGGTGGACAGTGAAAACAACACAAGTATGCAGTTTTGCTGTTTGTTTTTTTGTAATCTTTGTTATTTTTGAGTGGTCTGGTATTGAGATGTTGGACAACGTTTGTGTTCTTGGTTCTTTTTTGCTTCYACAGCTCCGTTTTGTAGAAATTTGATCCACAWTCTGGAGTCCAACCCTCTGTCCCGCATTGTGTGGCGAGGAATCAAACCGCTGTTCAAAGGAAAACTGCTCTACACACCAGACACTCCTGTAATACGGCAAGTCATGAAGGAGGTACAACAAGCAACCATTTCACTTTAGTTTTTTACAAAACTTTTTGTTTGTTAAGGTATTAGTGCATTTCTATTCACAAAAGACACAAAGGAGAAACCAGCACAACTAATCCMGTAATGTGAAACACAAGCTGGATAGTTGGGCTCAAATAATGACCTTCATTCATTAGGTTTGGCTTTTAAGAGCTATATCTGTTAAAATTAAAAGAAATGTGTGTTGAAGTTGAACAGGACATTTGAAGACCTGCAGATTCTTCAGGATCTGCATGAGGCTTGGTTGGAGGTGAGCCCACAAATCAAAAACTACATGGAGACCAGCGTGGAGATCAACCTGCTGCAGGTGGGATTCATCTGCTCTTCTTTCTCTGCGCAGGACGAGTGTATTGTGGCGCATTTGAAGCTAGAGAAGCTGTTTTTTATTTACATCGCTTTAAATGTGTGTGTGACAGGATATGCTGAGGCGTCCAGAGATCGCAGTTCTGGTTAATATGCGATTGGAGAACACAAACTGGACCGCCTCACGGATCGCTCATTTCCTGTCAACACCCTCGCCGGATAATCCAAGAGCGCCTGGAGCCTCGGCGACGTGGATGGACGTCTACGATGACGTTGAAAACACGATCACCACTCTGGCACACGTCACCAAGGTTCCTCTTTTTTTTTGATTTAGAGAAAAACCATCAACCTASTTGACAAAGCATCGCATATACTTTGATCAGTTTTTATTTTAAAAGTTTTTTCTTAATCACGCAGCATGTTGAGTAATTATTTCTGAACTGAATGTTATTTTCTGATAGTTGTTTTAGGTTCCTTTTATTTGTTTGTTTGTTTGTTTGTTTGTTTGTTTGTTTGTTTGTTTTGTTGTTGTTTAAAATCTCTTCCTCATCCTCAGTGCTTCAATCTGGACAAACTGGAGGGTCTGGAGACAGAGGGTCAGCTGATCAACAGAGCTCTGGAGCTGCTGGAGGACAGGCGGTTCTGGGCTGGTGTGGTTTTCCAGCTGCCCAACACGTCTTCGTCTGAGCTCCCTCCTCATGTTACCTACAAGATCCGAATGGATGTCGATGACGTGGCCCAGACCAACAAGATCAAGGACAAGTACCGTGGATTTGTCCTTCATCTTTTAGCTCGGTTTTAGCTTCTTCAGAAATTTTTTATTAAACTCATTTACAACTCAGCATTTACAGTTAAAAAAAAAGAAGTAGTTTCTCTAGTTTTGCTGATTTCTTTTTCAGGTTTTGGCATCCCGGTCCATCTGCAGACCCGTACACTAACATGCGCTACGTTTGGGGTGGATTTGTTTACATCCAGGACCTGGTGGAGAAAGCCGTGAACTACGTTCTCACCGGGGTTAAACAGACCACCGGCATCTACATCCAGCAGATGCCCTACCCCTGCTACGTGGACGATGTGTGAGTTGGACTGTAGCTTTTTTATTGTTAGCTTTGATGAAAACTTCCTACAGTTAAATGCTGATAAGACAGAGGTAACGATTGTTGCTGCTGACTTTGATTAGGCCAACTCTGCCACTCAAATGTACAAAATGTGGGTGKTCTTTTTGATCTGTCTGTTGTGTAGTGCACATGTTAAACAGCTGACAAGATCCTGTTTTGTTTTGTTTTTTTCATTTAAGAAACATCAGTCAGTTGAGACCTGTCCTTCCAGATGCAGAGCTAGATGCTCATTAGTGCATTCCTTTCCTCTCAGACTATTGTAATGCACTCTTCTTCACTYAGAAGCTACGTTTATATGGATATAAGTAATCGGATTAAACAGCCATTCGGAATAAAAATGCATCATGTAAACACCCCATTCGGATTATTCTGACCCGATTCAGCTCGATCCGAATGAATTTGTAATCGGAACGAGAGAGGTGGTTTATGCCGACTGATAATCCGAACGACGTGCATGTAAACACTTAATCTGATCATCTTATTCTGATTGTGGAAAACTGACCTGACTGCTCATGTCTGCTGACTGTCATCCACCGGTTTCTGCTCTTTTGAGGAGGGAGGGAGGGAGGGACAGCAGCGCTGTAGTTAACTTTCTTCCCGTTTTCTCTTTCAATAAAAAAAGGAAGACACACAGTCTGCGTGCTTCGCAAAAAAAAAAAGTCTGCGCGTCACCTGCAGCTCAACTAGAGAGTGCAGTAATGTCTCCACCAGTATTAAAACCTGTCGCAGGTCCATTCTGAGCTCAGAAGCTGTTTGTTTATGTTCATGATAGGGCTGCACGGTATATGCGGTGGACGGTAGAAACGGTATGAAGTTGGCCTATGGTAGAAATTTACCCTCTACTGTCCTGTCGTCAGTTACGTCATCGCACCTGTTTTAACAGGGCTGCGAGTGCAGAGAAGAGGAAGAGGAGGAGTTCAAAATATAATAAAGAACTATAGTGTTTTAAAACACGTAAAGAGAGAAATCCTCCAAATTTCCCCCCTCCCATTGTAGAGAGGCTACGTCGAGACCCCCCCACCCCCACCCCCCCGACTTTCCCGCAGCACGTCGCGCAGAGCGAAGCTTTAACAATCGTAGTTTTTTCACACGCAAGTTGTCGGAGAAAAAATAGTTTTTTATGTATTGTTATCCCACAGAGATGATGAAAAAGATGTGGACGTTCGTTCAGTCATAAATCCATTGTGCTAAAATAAAGTCGGCTTCTGCTCTGATGATGAAGATGAGCGCGCAGCAGAGCAGCAGCTGATAAGTTCAGCAGGCAGAAGCTCATTGTTTGGCAGGCAGAAATTAAAGCAAAAATGCTGGGTTTAAWTAAGATTACAGTTTTCTGCAAAAAAAAAGTTCTAAAAATGACATTATCTTTACTTTTTATGACAGTTTTTTACCGCGATATATACCTTTACCGTGAAGGGATTCAATTCATACCGTGWTATGAATTTGAGGTCATACCGCCCAGCCCTAGTTCATGACGAAAGTAAAACTTTTTCTGTGTTTTTTTTTTTAGGGAAAGTTAGCAACTGCGCATGTCAGTGCTTCTATTCTGAATAAAATGCCGGTGCATGTAAACACTTGTCATCATCGGATCATGCCCATGTAAACGATACATTCCGATTATTTAATCCGAAAACAATTCAATCCGATCAAAGAATTTTGCGCATGTAAACATAGCTAGTGTCTCTGCTCCAAAGCCAGACCAGGTCAAACAGATTCTCCCTGTTACAGTCACTCCATTGGTGTCCTGTGGAGTTTAGGATCCAGTTTAAAATTCTCACAATCACTTATAAAGAGTTGCACAGCCATGCCCCCACTAATATAGCAGATCTACTTCACCCATATGTACCTACACGTACACTTAGGTCCAGTAACTCCAATCAGCTACTTGTTCCTGGGTCCTAACTAAAACCCTGTGAGGACAGAGCATTTCAGGTTGTAGCTCCTAAATTTTGGAGCTGTAGATTCAGTGAAATTTAAAAAAAAAACAGCAGAAACTCTCAGWTTTAAGCAGGTTTTAATGTGGTTGAATGAGTTTTATTGTTGTGGTTTTAATGCTTTGTTTGTAAGTGTATTTTTTATGCTCTGTTATGTGCTGTTTTGTTTTATTATGAAGCACCTTGTGGCTACTTGACTGTGAAAATCGCAGAGGCCTATAAAGTACTTGAAAAAAAATAACTAAGTAAAAGTAAAAATACCTTAACAGAAAATGACTTTGGTAAAAATAAATTTCACTAATGAGAAAAGTACTTGAGTAAAAGTCATAAAACTGTTCACAAAAATGGGGAAAGTAAAGGTAAAGGTAAAAGTACTTTTACACACTCTAAATAAGCTGTTGAATTTACTGAACCAAACTGGTTCCACTAAATCAAGTTGAGAAAATTGCTTCACATTTACTCTACTAGGTTTAGTGGAACCAGTTGACATGACTTGGTAAATTAAATTTAACACTTAATATTTTTAGAGTGCAATAAACAACTCCTTTCATGATGAGTTTGGACATATTTAATTTGTAACGAGTAACTAAGTGTTTAATTTTAAAGTAAAGAAGTAAAAGTATAATTTTTAGGTTTTAAATGTAACAGAATAAAAGTAAAAGTAACAATAAAAATACTTGGTAAAATTACAAATCCTCAAAAAACTTACTTAAGTAGTTTAACGAAGTAAATGTACTTAGTTACTATGAACCTCTGGAAAATTGCTATACAAATGGAGTTACTTACACTAACATTAAGCTGCTTTTATGGACAGCAAAACTAATAGTAACTAGAAAAATTGCATTTCCTGTGAAAACGCTAGTGTGAATGCTTCATGCTGAAAACTTAAGCTGAAAGCTGCTTAAATTGAGCTGAAAATATTTAATAGGAAAAGTGTTAATATGAGCTCACTTTGAAAAGCTGAAAGAAGCAAACAAGCCTAACTTTGCAGAAAAACAGTAGAAAAGGAGCACAAATCTAGTTGAAACCAGAAAATAGCTAAAATAGCCGAATATGGCTAAAAACATCTGTAAGAAGCATAAATAACACTAGGTATAAAAAGTAGAAAAAAGCAGAACAGCAGAAAGAAGCAGATCTATAGCTAAAGTAGCATAAAATAGCTAAAATTAGCAAAAATAACCTAAAGGTAGTATCCACAATTTGACATTAGCACCCACTTGAAATATTTAGTTGAAAAATAGCTAAACAGAAAAAAAAAACAGAAAAAGATCCTAAAATTACATAAAAGTGATAACTAAAACAGCTGAAATTTTTAGTAAAACAGCTCAAAAGTAGCTGGAAATGTTTTAATTAGCATAAGGAAGCATAAGGAGCACAAGTTTGCTGAACTCTGTCAAAAAACTTTGTAATGGCTACAAAAAAATGTGTATTTACCTTAGAAAAGCCAACGTTAGCTAATTTTGGCTAAACATTAGCCAAAATTTCAGCAAATAGCTGAATAAAGCAAAAAGCATCTTTAAGAAGCCTAAATAGCACAAAGTAGCAGAAAAAAAGCACAAAAAAGTAGAAAATAAACCCCCAGAAGAATGGGGGGAGGGATGAAYTTTTGCTGAAATAGCGGGAAAAAAGCTACAATTTGTAAAAAAAATAATAATAATAAAATAAAAAGTTGCTAAAATTAGCACAAGAAGTGAGAAGGAGCATAACCAGAAAAAAAAACCGTGTAAGGTGCTGTAAAGTTTTAGAAACATTTTAAAGGAGTTTAAGGATGATGAAAACAGCTCCATTCATTTTCAATGGCAAAAAAGTGGCTAAAAAAATGAAATGGCTAAAAAAATGTGTAAATAGCTGAAATACCAAAAGTCATAGCACCCCTCACATGAATTTGCTGAATGTTTTGATAAATAAATTGTTGAAAAGCACAAAAATTGTGGAACAAGCTAGACGTCAAAAAACGCACGGAAGAAAAAATGATCTCAATTGTGTGAATCACACAATTAATATTTTATTAATTAGTCARTTTGTATCATCGGCAAATAAAGTTTTGATTTCCTCTTCGACAGTTTTCTTGGCGTGCTGAACAAATCCCTGCCTCTCTTTATGACWTTGGCCTGGATTTACTCGGTGGCCATGATGATCAAAGGTGTTGTGTACGAGAAGGAGGCGAGGCTGAAGGAAACCATGAGGATTATGGGTCTCGGTACAGGATCTCTGTGGCTCAGCTGGTTCATCAGCAGCATAGTTCCCTTCTTGGTTTCTGCCACGCTTCTTATCGGGCTGCTCCGGGTGAGATGACTCTGTTGTCTGTTCCAAACATAAATCTACTCTGAACTACAATGAACCCTGCTGCTAATAGCTTTTTGCTCTGTTTTTCCTAGTTGGGGGATATATTACCATACAGTAACCCTGCTGTGGTCTTCTTGTTCCTGATGGCGTTCGCCACCGCCACCATCATGCAGTGTTTCCTCATCAGTACGTTCTTCTCCAAGGCCAACATGGCTGCTGCCTGCGGTGGACTCATTTACTTCTGCCTCTATCTGCCTTATGTGCTGTGCACAGCCTGGAGAGACTACCTCACTTCAACACACAGAATCTTAGCTGTAAGGAATTTATTCTTCTCATTAAATGGCCTCAGGTAAAGTTCTAGATGATGGACTAACAGCGTGAAGCATTTTGTTTTTGTCAGAGCTTCCTGTCTCCTGTGGCCTTCGGTTTTGGCTGCGAGTACTTCGCCAAGTATGAGGAGCAAGGCATCGGTATACAGTGGTTCAACATGCGCTTCAGCCCTGTGGAGGGAGACACCTACAGCTTCACCATCTCTATCGTCATGCTTTATGTGGACGCCTTTATCTACGCTGTCGCAGCCTGGTACATCGAAGCTGTTTTTCCTGGTATGACTTGATTTATTTATTATTTACATGATTAGTTTTTCAAACTGCAAGATTACTAAATTCCTCATGCAAATTACAATAACTAAAARAGTGGGATGTATGTTTGAAATGACTCTTTATTGTCAATTTTCTAGCAGACACCTGGAAGTTTCAGGTCATTATAAACATGTATATAGAAGTGTTTATAAATCAAGCCTCCAAAACTAAAAATCATTAAAGCAACCCCACAGCATGACATTGCCTACACCATGTTTCACTATGAGAATATTGTTGTTCCTGCACCAAACCTATTTAGATTACTGGCTAAAAAGCCCAACTTTGCATTTGTCAGATGACAACACTTTTCCCCACATTTTGGAGACCTGACCAATATTTTGCGATGTTTATTTGGGTCTGGATGTTTTTTTTCTTTTGTCATAAAATGGTTTTTATTTTGCAATCCTACCCCACAGTCCAGATAAAGTGATAACAGAAGATTATTGCCATGTGTAAGACACAAATGGTACTTGCTGTCAGAAATACTTGATGTTCCTTTAGTATTGCCATAGTTGGGCAAAATTGTATCATGCAGTTAATCATCAGAAAAACTGTGACTGATTATTATCTGTCATTTTGCAATTACTGCAGTTAGCTCCATGKGATGACGTATTTTTATGTGCAACTCAATATGGAGCGCACCTGTGAGGCTGTAGCATATTGCATCAGTGAAGCGCAGCTGCCACTCCACATTGTGGAAAAAGTGGTTTTCAATTCACTGCCCACAATTTTAACCTGTTAAAATAAAGAAATTAGTTTAAGTGATGATTTGTAACTAAAACTTTAGAACACAGGATATCTGAGTCAAAAATTTGCAAGTGCACTTGTCACCTATAAAGCGTCATATTGATCGTTATTGGCTAAATGCCACAATTAATCATGATTAATTTTTGCCAGTATCATCCAGCCTTAGCTGTAGAGCGCTTGGTGGATTCTTTGACCAGTTTCTTTCTTGTCTTTTCTTCAATTCTGGAGGAATGTCCACTTCTCAAAGTTATTGTTATTCCATATTTTCTTCCCTTCTTGATGTCTGTCTTCCTTTGAATATCTAACACTTAGGAATCTTCAGCACCTTTGTCCTGATTAATACCTTTCAACAGTGACATCCTTTTGATGCCTAATGAAGGCAGCTGAGTTGATGTCGGGATTTGCCAACGTGAAATAAAGTTCAGCTGTCCTGGTTGGATTTTCCTAACATTTTCCTTCTGTTGGTTGGGGTTCATGAGTTTATGTCTCTTTACACCAGGTGAGTACGGGATCCCCAAGCCCTGGTACTTCGTTTTCCAACTCAACTACTGGGGTGGAATTCCTCTAGAGGCAGGCATGCCAATCCCACCAGCACCCACAGACCAAAACGAAGGTACAAGACTTTACTAGTTCTGCTTATGCTCTGTAATTAACCTAATTATTGAGCTTTAAGAGCAAGAAAACTCCAGTCATGAGCTCTTGGAAAGGAAAATTTTAATTATCCTCACGTGTATCAGTTTTCGAGCTCAGAGTGCCTGTACTGCCTCTTTATGTCTGTCATTAGACAACATTGAACCAGAACCCACTAATCTGAACCTCGGTGTGAACATAAGAAACTTGGTGAAACTCTACAAGAAAGGGGGGAAACTCGCCGTCAACCACCTGAACCTGAAGTTCTACGAGGGGCAGATCACCTCTTTCCTCGGCCACAACGGCGCCGGCAAAACCACCACCTTGTAAGAGTTATTTTATCTCACCCTCATGAGTTCTGCATGAAAACAATGAGATTATATTTTATGTTTTTAATGCTCGTCAGATCCGTCCTAACTGGACTCTTCCCTCCAACCTCTGGGACCGTGTACATCAAGGGCATGGACATCCGCTACGATATGGACATCATCAGGAGGATGTTGGGGGTTTGTCCACAACACAATGTCCTGTTTGACATGTAAGCTTGAAAAATGTTTATCTTTATGTTTATGTTTAATTCATTTATTCATTTCATTAAAAAACAAACAAAACATTTCACACAATAAAACAATACAAATAAAACAAAATGAAAGGCAGCAGAAGAAATCAAAATCAGTGATCAAAATCATGATTGTGCAACTTTTTTCTTTAAATATTTAGTGTAAAGTTAGAGTTGGCATTTTTGTTCTTATTTTGACCTTATGAGGCCACAATGAGAAGGAGTAAAGRATTTATTAATTTTTTTTGGCAGTTTTATTGATGAAAAGTTGACGTCAGTCATTTTGAAAAGTAAGATCTTTCAGTTTGGTCCAGATATGTCCTCATCTGGTATTAGAACTGAAGAAGCTTTTTTAAATTCAATTCAATTCAAATTCAAAAGCACTTTATTGATCCCAGAGGGAAATTTGGTAATTGAACAGTAAAACATCTTAGAGATACAGAGCTTGCAATGGGACATGATGGGATTTTTTTCTGTTGCATTCCCTTGCAAAAGTTTAATGTTTTGTATTAACTGTATTAAATGAGACTTTTATTTTAAATTTTACTGAAACAGAATGTGTCGCCACATGTTGGGGAAATTGACAGTGTTATTTCTGCACATTACATATAAATCRATGCAGCTGTGTATTCATTTCAAAGCTGAATAAAAGCAGGCTAACTCTCGTATAATGGCGAGCATGTGAATTTATTAATAAACCGCCAGGCACAAAGAAAGAAAACGAAGTAAGAAACGACTTTTGCAAGAGAACGCAAAAGTTCCCTTGTGGGCTCCATGTAAAGATATAAGAAAAGTAGTCCAGTTATATTCCATTCTATCAACTTTAATGCCCAAGTCCAGGTCTGCAAAGGTTTGTATAAGTTTTAACTTTTTTATAGATGTAGGTTATAGGAAAAAATCCTACTGATAAATAAGAAATACCGTAATAGTGAGAATTACCTTGAAGTCAAACACATTCAAAAGATTACTTTTTATTTTACTCAATCTTTAATTTTCTTGGCCTCCTTTTCTCAATCAGGCTCACGGTGGAGGAGCATGTGTGGTTTTACGGGTGCCTGAAGGGTTTATCTGAAGAAAAGGTGAAGGCTGAACTTGGCACTTTGCTTGAGGATGTGGGCTTGTTGCACAAACGACACGAACTGACCAAAAACCTCTCTGGTAAAATCACGAGTTTTCCTTCAGTGTCTGGGAAAATATTTGCTTTATAACTTGAAATGTTGTGTTTTCTGTTTTTCTGTCAGGTGGGATGCAGAGAAAGCTGTCAGTGGCGATCGCGTTTGTTGGGGGATCGAAAGTAATCGTTCTGGATGAACCCACTGCCGGCGTCGACCCGTACTCCCGCAGAGGGATCTGGGATCTGTTGCTTAAGTACCGTAAAGGTGACGTCGAGCGCCACTTTATGTGGGATGAGATGAGTTTCTGTAAACTAAAACTGCTCTTATATTTATTTATTTTTAATTATTATTAAACCTTTATTTCAGCAGGAAAATCCCACTGAGATTAAAAATCTCTTTTGCAAGAGAATCCTGGCCAAGACTGGCAGCGTTACACAAAGGGTTACAGAACATTCACAGCAAAACCAGAAAAAGTTAGCACCGTCATGGATAGATTAATAAAAAGATTCCTCAGTTAAAATCTATACAGACAGATGATTCCTTCCCAAAATCAATAAGAACAGTCTTAAAAACAACAGCACCTTTAGGTTCATGTATCTCTGTAACTGGTTCCAAGAAGATGGAGCAGAAAACTGAAAAGATTTCTTAAGTTCAGTTCAGACTTTAGGCACCAAAAGCAAAAATAAATTCTCACAACAAAAAGAATATCTTCCAGTGGACTTTCTATTTATATAGACCAACAAATATGATGGAAGAAGTCCTAGTATGGCCTTATAAATAAAAATATGCCAATGAYGGAGTCTACAAGTGGCCAAGGCTGTCCATGCAACCTGGTTGTATAATGTGCAGTGATGTGTAAAACCTTTTAAACCTGTTTTAAATCTTAGAGCTCCATGATGAAGGGTATCCAGTGAATAAATACATTTAAGAGAAGCATGCATGTATAAAATGTCACCATAGACTAGTACAGACATAAATGTTGCATCAACCAATCGCTTTCTAGCCTCAAACGATAGACACAAACTAATCTTGAAATAAAATCCCAATTTTAATCTCAGGTTCTTCACAAGCCGTTGAATGTGGGAAGAAAAAGACAAAGAATCATCAATTAAAAAGCCTAAATATTTATACTGTGACACATTTTCAATTTTTAATAATGACTGAAAGATCCTTACGTTCAAATCAACAATAGAAAACAGCATCGCCTTCGATTTATCTGCATTTAACACGGTGATAAAGATTTTTCTGTAGAACTTTAAAAGCTGACTGTAGCTGATTAAAAGCATTATTATTTGAGAGGCAAGAACAATATAATACAGTATCATTTGCATAAAAGTGAAATTTTGCCTGAGGCACATATATAATAAACAAAGGTGGTCCTAGCACTGATCCCTGAGGAACACCATTAAGAATATGGAGAGAAGAGGCAGCTAAACCCTCTACTTGAACACACTGAGATCTATTGGTCAGATTGTTGTCAAACCAACAAAGAGTTTGTTGTTTATCTTAATTTCATTTAAAATTCATCACAAGAGTTCGTCTTTTTGCGATTTTCTTTTCTTCTGTATCAGATCGAACCATCATTCTGTCTACTCACTACATGGATGAGGCGGAGCTGTTGGGCGACCGGATTGCCATCATCTCCAAAGGGAAGCTGCGCTGCTGCGGATCCCCGCTCTTCCTAAAATCCCTGCTGGGATCTGGTTACTACCTGACTGTGGTAAAGAGGGAGGATCCGAGCATCAGCACTCCCAGTAACTCCAGCATTTGCACCGGTACCAGCATCAGCACCAACAAGCTTCCTCCTTTGGTTCAGGTTTGATTGGACGGTTACATCATTTCCAGTACAAAAAAAATGTTTTATTGCAATTTCCTGAACTCTGCTGTGTGTTTCAGGACAGTGATTCATCTCTGAGTGAGGACACGGGGCTGGGAAGTGAAGACAGCACCTCCTGTAAGTGTTAAACAAGTGTTTGACCTCTTAAAACAGTGTTTATGCTTTGTGAGAGAACCGTAATAACGTCAGACTTGTCATCTTTGTGGCAGCTTTGCTCTCCCTGGTGCATCAGCACATCCCAGATGCGAGGTTAGTGGAGGAGTCTAGAAGAGAAGCGGTGATCAACGTGCCACAAACTGCTGCCAAAAACGGCTGCCTGGCTATCTTCCTGTCTAAACTGGACCAGAGACTTCCTGAGCTGGGCATCAGCAGCTACGGGCTGTCAGACAGCACACTGGAGGAAGTGAGTTAATGATGTATAAATAAATAATAATAATAATAATGCATTTTATTTGTTAGTATCTTACAAGTCACAAACTTTACAACATTAAAAACATACAATTAATCAATACAAAATGACAGTAATAAACCAGCAGTGTCTGTAAAGACTTTGGCAGAATGTTAGGCTGGTCTGTGTGTGCATGCAGGAACCATTCAAGTCTGATCAGGAGAGCTGGATATTTGTGGAGCAGCCGTGCTCATAATGAGCTTAATGGGTTTACTCTGCGTGAATCAGAAACTCGGTGCTCCTTTGACCTCGGCAGAGGAGCCCAAAGTGGGGCCCGCGGGCCAAATTTGGCCCGCCAAGCCATTTGATTCGGCCCACCAACAGTTGCCAAAGTTAAAAGGTTGTAACCTGTTATTCTATGTAGAAACACATTATTTCCATTGGTCAAATGACTATATAAAAGGGCTGTAGTGAAGTTATCCTGATGCATCTCTGTAATCCAGGTAAAAAATCAAAAAGAAAAAAAATTGTATAGGTCTTCTGGACGGGTTCTTCTCTAATGAAACGTTTCGTCNCTGTTGACTTTAGCTTTGATTTATTAGGATTAAACATGAAACATGAAATGACAACAATAAATATTTAGATCAGATTTAACCCCACGTGTAGATTTGCACACTTTATAAGGCCACAAAAACTCATATTTTATCAATTTATGATATGTCCCATGAGCCTTTGCTATGGCAGACTTTATCCAAGTGCAGAGACTTAAACAAAAGAGGGCCATTGCATAGCATAATCGCTAAAAATAAAGGACTTTACTTAAAAAATACAGTATTCGTATTTCATGTATTATATTACTGCATTTGGCCCACAGCCCTGGATACCCTGGACCTCGGTGTGAAATTATTACCCTGTGCTCTTTCACTGCCACCTTGTGTCTAAAAGGAAGCAGTTTTGTTGCTTTATTTGTACAAGGAACCTCTTGACATTTAAATTTTAATTTTACTTTAATTGGATTTTTTTCTCACTGCTTTTTTAACATCTGTAATCCTAATAATTTTCAGATCTTTCTGCGAGTGGCAGAAGAAACCGATGTTGACGCTGATCCAGAGCAGCCTGCAGAACCTCCCCGCGGTCCTCAGCCATCAGTAAAAAAGACTGAGGCAGGACTGGATGAAGTTCCAGAGACAGGTATGAACTCAGACCGTCCATCATTTACAGTCTGTGGTCCTCAGTCGTCTCAATCTAACTGTTGGCTTTTATAACGCTGCCAGGAAGGAAAAGACACTGTAAAAAAGGTACCTTTAGCCTACAAAATAAAATAAATCTGAATATGTGTTTTTATATGTTCAGAAGTATGTTCTTCTATTAAAAAGACAAAAGACTTTTGAGTTGTAGCTAAACAAACTGAGCCACTTTTCATTAGAAAATAACTACTTTATGTAYGTTTAGTCCTATTAGTGTTTATCATATCCGGTGTCTGTGGTTCTCTTTCTGTTTGTGTCTGTCTGCAGAGCATCAGGAGACAGACCTGCTGAGTGGAGATGCTCAGGGTGGCRTGGCTGTGACAGGCTGGTGGCTGCTGTGGCAACAGTTCAAAGCTCTTTTCATCAAGCGCTGGCTTTACGCTCGAAGGAGCAATCGCGGCATCTTTGCTCAGGTTGGACAAATGGTCTATGAAAAGATCTGAAACTGAGAATTTATGTTTTCATCAAAGTATGCTGAAATATTTGAATAAAAGGTTTTGAGTTTTTATCTGGTTTTTGTTTGTTTGTTTGTTTGTTTGTTTGTTTGTTTGTTTGTTTGTTTGTTTGTTTTAGATTGTTCTGCCTGCCATGTTTGTGCTGATTGCTCTGCTCTTCAGCAAAATTGTTCCTCCGTTTGGAAAGTACCCCCCACTTGAGCTGCAGCCCTGGATGTATGGCAAACAGTACACCTTCTTCAGGTAAGTCTTTATGCAGCTTTTCCCCCCTTTTCTTTGATTTGCAGAGAAAATGTTTCATTGATAAAACATGCTCTATTACCCAGTCAGAAATGAGCAAACTAACGGTTGATCTTGGTTTATTGCCTTGCATCATTAATCTTAAATATTTACCCACTACTTGTTTAATAATTACAGCAATGATGCTCCTGGGAACCCAGTCATAGAGAACCTGCTGGAAGCTTTGCTGGATCAACCCGGTTTTGGGACCAAGTGCATGGCAAAAGAGAATGAAAACGACACGTAAGACACGTGTACCCCAAGGCTCTATCCTTGGACCTCTCCTACTTATCATCTACTTCCTCCCATAACATCCTGTTATGTTTATGTTTCCATAAACATAACATTTAGTTTCATTGCTATGCAGATGACACACTTTACTGTGGTTCTGCTTTTTAGGGCTAATTTCACCCTTCTTTGGATTCTCTTTTGCTATTTTTAGCTTTATTCTACAATTACAACTTTTCATGCTTTCTGCCTTTTTATGCTGATTTCAACTGTTTTCTGCCTTTTAAGCTACTTGTTATCTGATTTCAGCTACCGGAATTTTAGCTTTTTTCTACTAACTTCACCTTTTTGCGATAATTTTGCCTTCATACTGCCTAATTCAGCAAACATTTGCTCTTTCTGACTCTGCACAATTTTCAGCTTTTCAGGTACTTTTTAGCTACGTATCTGCAGCTCATTTAGAATAGAATAAAATAAAATAGAAACAGCCTTTATTGTCCCGCGGTGGGGAAATTCAGGTGTAACAGCAGCAGCAGGTGCATCAATCCACAAAACAGCAGCTATGTGACATTATCAAGTGTTGCAATAATAATAGAATTAAAAAAATAATATAAAAAAAATAAAAATACAATAAAAATAAACTATTTCTGTACAATACAATAGATGTACAATACAATAGATGAAATAAGATAAAAATAAAAGCAAGAAACCATGCAGAAGAGCAAAAAAATTGCAAGATAAACAGTCACAACAGACTCATGATCCAAGGGGTGTGTGCAAATTGAGTCAAACTCACATTAATTTAGTGTTACAGTACAGGAAAAAAAGATGTGCAATTGTCACAGAGTATTTTTTATTTATTTTTTATTTAACCTTTATTTAATCGGGCAAAACATCAAGAAGAACTTCTTATTTGCAATGTCAGCCTGGCGGGTACCAGAGACAGCCATAAGGAAAAGAAGAAACAAATCATCTTACAAACAACATATCCAAATAACATGGAACATAAATCACAAAAGATATAACAAAATAATAAAAACAAAAACATACAGCATAAAAACATAGCACAAAGCCTACTCAATTTCAAAAAACAAATAGCTAGCAATGACAGGTCAGAGATGGTAGATGAAGCTCACGTAAAGCTGATTTAAAGTGACCTATAGGTAAGAGTAACTGTAGTTTCAGATCAAATCTTAAATAAATATTATTTATGTAACRATTGAGAGATAGTTATTTGATGTGCAAACACAAGCATGGATGCTTATTGAGATTGTTGGGAGCAGTGATGGTCATAGAGTCTAACAGCTAATGGGAGGAATGATCTGCGGTAACGCTCCTTTGTGCATTTAGGATGCAGCAGTCTGTCACTGAAGGAGCTCTGTAGCTCAGCCACAGTTTCATCTTCTGTTCTTGTTTTCCTGCTAATGTGAGTTTTTTTACCGTCTTTTTACCAACTGTCTTCTTAACCCATCTTGTTTCTGCTCTTTTAGCGACRTATCTGCTCTGTTTGTTTGTTTGTTTTTTTACACATTTTTGCTTTTTTTTCAACAGATTTGTAACTTTTTTGCTTTCAGCAAACATCAGCTCTTCAAACTGAACTCACATTAACAGTTTTGGCGTTAAAGATTTTCAGCTTCTTCAGCAATTTTGGCAATACGCATTCATAGTGCATTTTCACAGGAAATGCAAATTCTCTTGTTGTTGTTGTTGTTGTTGTTGTTGTTGTTGTTATTAAGATAATTTCTGTAAACTAATCATTGTCTTTGTGACTTAGATAAAGACAAAGGAAGAAAGTAGTGGGAACCATAAACATTGGGCCTCATTCAAGAACCGTTCGTATGCACAGATTTGTTCTTAAGTTGTGCGTACRAGTGATTTAGGAGAATTTGTGGCATTTACCAATGTTTTCGTATTCTACGATTTTTTTCAGATACGAACAAAATCCACGAGCAGTCCAGACCTGTTGTATATTTTACGAGCAGTCAGTCTGCTGTTATCCAGACGGGTTTTCCTCCCTAATAACTTTATATTTCGTTAGTTTGAAGATATTTTGAGTTGAAAATAAATTACACTCCATAATTATGTTGACAATAGGTTATTCTGCTTGAATTAGAGTTATAATTTTAAATGTAATAATTTAGACTAACAATATAAATGGTCCGTCCGGCCGGCTTATCCAGGATCGGGTCGCGTGGGCAGCAGCAGAAAGACCCCGCGCTCTCCCCAGCCACACTTTCCAGCTTGTCCTGGGGGACTCCGAGACGTTCCCAGGCCAGAGAGGATACATAATCCCTCCAGCGAGTCCTGGGTTTTCTCCAAAGTGCCAGACTTATTTTGAAAACATTTTAAAATGCTTATTTCAAACCCGCGTCTGAGACCACCTGCGACCGCGCAGCACACGCGCGCGGGTGTGTGTGTGTGTGGGAGGGGGGTAACGGTGCGCAGCGCTGCGGCTTCTGAATAAATGAAAATGATTTAACACAGTTGTTTACACTTTTAGCAGCTCTTTTTATTCCACAGCTGACCTGCTAAAAATGACAGATTTTCTTTTCTGGATCTCTGACAGACGGACTTCAATCTCTGAACTCGTAAAGTTTTTCTTTTTAGTTTTCGCTGTCATTTTTCATGAATGGACACTTCCTGATATCTGAGGCAGGAAATAGCCTTATATGGTGTTTTTGGGGTGGTAATTATGCTAATCTCCTCTCGCGTGCACGTGTAGCTGGATACGAACAGGTGAAATTTACACAGCTCATTTACACACTTTTCCTGAAAATAGAAGAGTTTGTTGAATCTGACGTGACATGTTCGTACGAACCCTTTGTACGAACAAAAGTAAGAGAAATTTAGGATAAGAATACGAACATGTTCTTGCATGAGGCCCATTGTGTATAAATCTGAAAACATAACAGCATCTACAGGGTTTTTCCATCTTAGTTCCTAAATCTGTACTGACAGCTTTGTATTTTCATTTGTGAACCGTCAAACATTGTGTGTGAAGAAGTCCTCAGTGTGAAAGTAAGCGGGGGTCCGTGTTCATGAGGCCACACGTAAGTTTCTCCACCTGGAAGATGTTCAGCAGAGGGAACTGGAGCAGAAACAAACCCTCACCAGAATGTGTGTGCAGCACGGAGGACATCCACCGGATGTTTCCTGAGTGTCCAGAGGGCGCCGGCGGTCTTCCTCCTCCACAGGTCAGTTTGGTTTTAAATTATTAACGGTTCAGTTATTTATGACATGATCAGGCTGAACTGGAAATATCCTCTGCTGATTTTCTGTTAACTGAACGCTGACATAAAGACAAGATTATTTCAGACATTTTAAAATGTTTTACGGTGGAAAAGCATAGTATCGTGTTTCTGTGTGGGCTCTTATTTTGTAAAATGAACCATTTTCAGAATATGAGAGCGACTGGAGACATCCTCCAGAATCTGACAAGTTATAACATCTCTGATTACCTGGTGAAGACCTACCCACAAATCATGAAGAAAAGGTACTGCAGTCGCTCAGTTTGTCAGTGTTGGTCCCTTTTGTTCTACAGTTCAGGAGCACAAGAGGGGAAAAAAGTCTGGCATATTCATTTGTTTCAGTTAGAAATGTAAAATGCACCTAGAGCCTCTTGCTTTGTCTGTGCCATGCTCACATTTTGTGTCAAATTATTCAATTCGATGGTGATAGCTAATCAAATATCTACAATTCAACAAACAAATCAGAACAATTTACCCTCTTTTCTTAATTTGCCTCTTATACCTCATTGTTTGTCCTTTCAGTTTAAAAACCAAGCAGTGGGTGAATGAATTCAGGTAAACTGCAACATTTTAAATTCAGACACAAAATATGACTCTTTTCAAATGCTAATATTTTATTCTTTGTTGCAGGTACGGAGGCTTCTCCCTCGGAGGCATCACCACCCACAGAGTATCGAGATCCCAAGACCTCCAGGACTCGGTCATGGCAATCAGGACTCATTATCAAGTCGAACAGGTRCTGTGTTCACAATGCTGCATTAGTGTCTCCTGTGTAATTCATGCTTATTAACCTCTGCCTGAATGTTGTTTTGTTCATCACAGAACAGTTCGCTGGATCATCTGTTGAAAAAGCTGCCAAGGTTTCTGGGAGAAATGCACAGTGAGAACAGCGTCAAGGTGAGAATTGTGTCAGATCGTCACACCTTTTCTGACACACAGCCTAAAAGCAGATGTATTTGTTGGCTTTTCCTACCTATTGGTAGCGTAAATCCATTCATGCATCCGTTTTCTTCCACTTATCTGGGGTCGGGTCGCGGGGGCAGCAACCAAAACAGCGAAACCCAGACTTCCCTCTCCCCAGCTCATCTGGGGGAATCCCAAGGTGTTCCCAGGCCAGCCGAGAAACATAGTCCCTCCAGYKTGTCCTGGGCCTTCCTCTGGGCCTCCTCCCAGTGGGACGTGCCTGGAACACCCCACCAGGGAAGCGTCCAGGAGGCATCCTAACCAGATGCCCAAGCCACCTCAACTGGCTCCTCTCCACGTGGAGGAACAGCAGCTCCACTCTGAGTACTGCTCTGGAAGCGTAAATGTAATTTTTAATCTTTCTCGTGCTCAGGTGTGGTACAACAACAAAGGCTGGCACGCCATGGTGTCCTTCCTCAACGTGGTGAATAACGGCCTGCTGAGAGCGAGCCTGCCAGAACCAGAGAGGAGGAAACATGGCATCACCGTCTACAATCACCCTCTCAACCTCAGCAAGGAGCAACTCACTGAAATGGCCATGTTAGTTTACTGCTTTCTATTTTCTATTGGTCTTATTTATTTGATGAAGAGTTAAATTTAGTAATGTTTGAGCAGTTTAACTAGAAGAAGATTATAAGAGGAGTTAGACAATAAGAACTTACAATAACAGGTGATGTTTACACCAAAACTAAAGGTGAAAAAGTTGCCAAAAAAATCCATCAAATTTGTGTGTTTTTTCCTGCTTGTTTTTTTATTTTATTTTATTTTATTTTTTTCAGGTTGACCACATCAGTGGACGTTGTGGTGTCCATCTGTGTTATCTTTGCCATGTCCTTCGTTCCGGCCAGTTTCATCCTGTTTCTGATCGAGGAGCGAGTCAGTAAAGCCAAACACCTTCAGTTCGTCAGCGGGGTCAAACCAATCCTCTACTGGCTGGCCAACTTTACCTGGGACATGGTCAGTGTTTATTCATCTCTGACAACAGGCTCAGACTTGTAAGATCCAAAAAATAAAAATAAAAATTAGAAACCAGAACAGCTATGACTTCATAGTTGGTCAACAGTAGATGATGCCAGTTTAAAACTCTAAGAGGCTGATATAGGTTCCTTTAAAGGGACAATATTATGTGATTCTCAGGCATACATTTAAATACTATACTATAATAAAGTATCTATGTCACCTTTAGTTATTAAAATGCTGTTTTTAGAATAGAAAATAAACTTATCTTCTCATCACTTCCTCTTCTAAACACCTTGAAATTGGCCTCTGTCTCTTTAAGAACCTCCTTCTGCTTCTGTTCCATCCCATTTCAGTACGGGGGGAGGGGGGGTCACGCGTGCGTGCGCTGTGATACAGTTTACTTGGCATCTGAAAATACATTTCCTCAAATGTATTTTTAATCTGAAAAGAGCTTCACTGAGTGAGCAATAGTGTTAAGAACAGCAGACAGTTTAAGTTTCACTTTCAGTTTCACTCCTTTGCTCTGTTACTGCCGAGAGCCTGCAGGAGTCATGGGCGGTGTGTGTGGGGTGGGTGTGGGGAGATGTGCTCCATGATGAGGAAGTTCGGCTTAAAGACACATCCCAGGGGTGTTTCTGGTCCCCACCTGTCATTTTGCTCCTCAGCATGGCTTCCTAAAAACGCTGCAGGATTTCTCACACATGCATGAATGAAACAAAGCAAGGCTTTGGGCATGTTTTTTATGAGAGTATAAAATTATAACATGATATAAAATTCAAAAAAAGCTGATTTTACATGATATTGCCCCTTTAAGGAATGCTAAGCCTTTAAATATTTTTTATTATTTTCTCAGCTGAACTATACCGTCCCAGCCTTCATCGTGGTGTTGATCTTCATCAGTTTTCAGCAGGAGGCGTACGTCTCTGAAACCAACCTGCCTGCGCTCATCCTCCTCCTTCTACTTTACGGGTACGTTGAAGCAAACTCTGCCCACATTGTCACATATTTAAAATGCCTCGCATTACTTTCAACTCATGTTTTTCTTTTTTTATTGTAACAACTGATTTTAAATAATCTAATCCTGAAATTTTGATCTGATGATCTGAGTTACATTTTATATTCAACCACAAACTAAACTACAAGAATTTAAAGGAGACATATCATGCAAAATTAACTTTAAATGTGTTTAGTTGTGCACTTGGATTCTCTAGAAATGCAGAAAAGTAGATATCTTTATATTCTGTTTGAGTCATATGTTTCAACCTGTTCAGTTTTTTCTATTCTCTATTATGTTTTCTGAATTATTATGTCACATAATTTGCAACAAAACTTCTAAATAAGGTCTGGACTTAACAACCACAGTTTGGTGGTCTTAATTCTCCTCTGGTTCTGGGTCAGACTCTGGCTCCAATATGTAAGGCTGGATGGATCCTCCATATATGRCATRTCTGGAGTTATAAATACTTCAATCTCGGATCATTCACTTATTTATGTCATTAGAAAAAACCTTAAGAAACCTACAGGTCATGTGCATAATTTCATTAAAAGGATTCCAAAATCAAAGTTACCCATGTTTCATGCTGAGATTGAGAATACTAACTGGAATGAGGGTATTTCTCTGTCAAATCCAAATCAAATTCTGGAAGTGGTCATTCAACTAGATCTGTTACAAAAGGACAACTGATATCACCAACTT